TGTCAGAGACAACGTCATCTATGTCACCGATTAATTTAAACAATTGTTGGTCGTTTTGTGGCTTTCGTTCTCTGAATAATTTACGTACACTGTCACGTAACTCACGTTTAGTGCCTCTAATAATATAAAGAGGCGTTCAATATATCTTGTCCACGGCAAAATCGTTATATCTCGTAAACCATAAGAGATAATTAGATTCTGTAAAAAGCATTCAATAGCCCTATTTAAACGTGACATGCTGATATGCTGATTTTAAATATTGGTCACGTGGTTTACTTAATAATATATACATTCGGAATGGTCATATTACAGATCAAACTATAAGAAATATAGAGATGGTCCCCATGGGTAATTTGTAGAGTGATAAATTCTGCACACAATACAAAAAGAATTACTAAAATATGTTAAGTAATATAGATTTTATGGCTCAACAAAGACAGGCTTTTCGTAATGTTAATCCTATGGGCAAATTTCAAGTATGAAATATTGAGATGGTTCCAATACAAAATATTTAGAGCAAATAATTGTGTATAATATAAAAAAAGAATTATCAAAATCCAACATGTATTTTAGGTTTTATCAACAAAAGAGTGATGGTATTTTGTAAACGAGATATCTCATAAATATACTTTTTCTTCATTTAACAAACAGATTTTAATAAAAAATAAGCATAATAATTACTAATAAATTTTATAATTTACATTAAAACATATATTATTAAAAATATTTTATTTTTATCATTTTATAAAAATTAATATTAATATAAAATACCATCACTCTTTTGTTGATAAAACTTAAAATACATATCAGATTTTGATAATTCTTTTTTTATATTATACACAATTATTTGCTTTAAATATTTTGTATTGGGACCATCTCAATATTTCATACTTGAAATTTGCCCATAGGATTAACATTACGCAAAGCCTGTCTTTGTTGAGCCATAAAATCTATATTACTTATCAGATTTTAGTAATTCTTTTTGCATTGTGTGCAGAATTTATCACTCTACAAATTACCCATGGGGACCATCTTTATATTTCTTATAGTTTGATCTGTAATATGACCATTCCGAATGTATATATTATTAAGTAAACCACGTGACCAATATTTAAAATCAGCATATCAGCATGTCACGTTTAAATGGGGCTATTGAATGCTTTTTACAGAATCTAATTATCTCTTATGGTTTACGAGATATAACGATTTTGCCGTGGACAAGATATATTGAACGCCTCTTTATATATATATATTTAATGCATGATATATATACCTATATATACCTAACCATATATATAGGTACAAACAGAATTACAAGGTTATCTATTATTTAGTGACCTATTAAACCTTAGAAGCATTGTTTATATCTTTGATCAGTCCTTGATCATTAATAATTCCTAGTAGATAATTAATTAATTTATTTTGCCTCTGATAATTTATCTGCATATTGTTGATGTTTTCAATTATTGAATTCAAAATGGCCATGGTCCATTGTTGGGTGCGCTGACACACCACCAAAGCTCGTTGGGCACACATTTCCGAATACCATTTGCCCGCAAAGTTACCAATAATACTCATTTGAACGCAATATTCATATAACACTGATCTTTTATTCGGGAAATCATCGACCCAGTTACTATAGCCCGACCCCTTAGTATTGGCCATACCTGTCCACACTCTATCAGCAACGGTGATATAATAGGAAAGAAATTTTGTGACAAATGCTTGTTCGTCGGCCGACCCGATGGTTATCAACGAGGCGTTAGGGTATAGTTGCGCGCATTTGCTTTGTGCCACTGTATTGTTCGCACGATTTTCAATGACTTTAAAGCACTTTTCCTTCTTATATGGTATCCAATCATCGCAGAGATTCATATCAATGGCCAATGAATTCACTAAATTTGTATTTTATTCATAGAATTAGTTAAGACAAAAAACATTGATTAGTTATTTTACCTGTAATCGACAGAATATATAAATTAATTGCAAATAAAATTATTATCTTCATATTTTTTCTACTCAATATTAGCAAAAAATAAAAATTTTGATTAATTGAATTTTAATTGTAACAGTTTATATTTAATTAAAATAATAACTAATTGTGTATAGAATTCAATTATCTAACCAAGCTATATACCCATCACTGCATTAAAATAAGATGTTTACTTAAGTTATGTAATTGGTAACTTAGTTTAATTTTCACATATTTTGCTTATCTAATGAATTGTTTAAATATTTTACTAATAAATGTAAAATTAATATTTTTATAATGATATAATATAAATTTACATTACTTTATGTACAGTATTTAATAATTAATTTTTTAAATGTAAAATTTAATTAAAGCGTAGAATTTAAAATAACAAGGATATAAAGTATACATTACTATTATTGTATTTTATTATTAAACATTTTTAATGCATGATAAATCTTCAATTATTATAGTTTTATTTTATTTAAAAAAGCTTAAATATTAGATTAAGTTATTATTAAGTAATATTTATTAATTTATTGTTTATTTTTACAATACGTTTAATAATAATTTGTGATAAGAAAAACAATTATTTATCATTTTTAGCACTAAAGCCGTTGGGATGGCATGTAATCAGATATAAAGCGATACCAATCACTGGCCATAGAAACACATTCATCCGGAGTATAGTTATGACCCAAATGGGCATAAATATGACAAACGAGCCGACAATTTGCTCCGACAGTCGGGATGTGATGGACTTGTAGTGAATGTCACCACATCTGGTCTGTCGGCTCTTCACCACATCTATGGACGCCTTTTTGAGATCATAGGCCCAACCGATGGCCGCAAACATGTCTATGAAAGCCGTCGCCGGATTGAACACATCGATCGCACCCAACTCTGACTGCGAGTAATCCCTGCAAACAATAATGTTTTGCAACAAAAAAAAACAATTGTTAAATATTCAATAATAACTAATAGATACCGGGCTATCGGACTTTAAACGCAAACTATATGCCTTTTCATAAATAGCCGGGTATTAATAATTATATCATTTACATGGGAAACGAGTGGTGATAATTATGAAAGCCTTCGCCCATCAGAAAATGTCGTGCATTCGCCTCAACCGGTGCTATGCTTTTGTCGTACGGCTTGATATAAAAATGCAAAAATTAATTATAAAATATTAAATAAATCTAAAATGTATATAATATTTCTCATGCTTATTTGCTTTTGCTCAAAAAAGTTAGCAGCAATAGTTTAATTTAAAAATTTTGCATTATCTATCAATGTTTAGCCATTATCATTTAAATGAATGCACACAACCAAACATACCCTCATGCCCCACATATGAGCGGCGCTGTTAATGAGTAGAGTGCTGTGCATTGACACGACGTATCGGAGCATTACGGACACGAACCACGAGTTCCATAGGGTTTCGGCCCACAACCAGTGGGGTATATACCATGGTATGAAACCCCATATGAACGCACCCAACACGAGGTAATGCTTAAACTGAAACTGAACTATCGGGTCGGCCAACAGGTCGCTCATGTCAATGGTCTTACCTAATAATAAACATAGTTATTGGTAATAACGTTATCATCAAGTATATTAAATTAACAAGGTAATCTTTGCAAATACTATAAATAGGTTACCCTTTTCCCTGACGTCCGGGTGTTTGCGATACATAAGCCAACCGATGTGTGAGAAGAAAAAGCCGCGCCGGGAGTTGTGTGGGTCGGCGTCGGTGTCGCTGTGTTTGTGGTGCAGCCGATGATCGCGAGCCCACTCGTATGCGGGACTCAAAAAGGCCAACGTTTGAAACACCATTAGTATCATCTGAAGCGGTAGATTGGCTTTGTATGACCGGTGCGACCACAGCCTATGGGCGCCGCACTATATATAATATACATAAAAGTATAATAAAATTAGCTATTCTGTTTACATTTATTTGAAAACAACCCTGTAAGAACGTATAATAATTTTTGCATAATTGTGGTTTCTTATAGGGAGGTTTGATTGCAATAATAAATAGTTAAATGTTTTCATTACCAGAGTTCCAAATGACGCGAAAAGTGCCATTAAATTCATAAACAAAGACATCGATGGGAGGCAAAATAGCTGTAATCATCACTTAAAGATAAATTTTAAAATCACTCAATAGTAAAACATATATGTATAAAAGATACATATATCTATTTTAATAAATTCTGTAAACGTGATAAAATATAGCCACAATCAACTGAATAAAAGTATTATCTTAATCTGATAATACAATAATTAATAGAATTTTAAATATTTGTGTTTAGAGTAATTTTAAGTAAAAGAAAGTAATTATTTTCACACTGACAGTGAATAACACAGTCACGTGTTTGATTTATAAACTTATATTTCAATAAATGTGCATCACATGCTTTGGCGAGGCGTTACATGCACTCCGGATTAAGCTCTTTATGACAATCTTTATCAACACATGCATATATGTGTAGTTGTTTATAAGTGATGATTACAACTATTTTGCCTCCCATCGATGTCTTTGTTCATAAATAATATTGTCTTAAACTGAACGACAGTTACCGCCAAATATAGGCCATAAGCCGCTGATATGTGAACAAAAGGCATCCAAATTATATGGTTGTACACGAGCTCTCGCTTATACACCGGTTTAGCGGGTGTTTTATCACTGGGATTGTTATTCTCATTCTTGATCATGTTGTTGTTGTTAAGATCAATTTGCCCGATGTGGCCATTATGGTCAAATTGTTCGTCAATTGTTGTCTCCATTTAAGGTATTTTATATAATATCTGTTGGTAAAAATAATAAATTAGTGTAACATTGTTGATTTTTTTGTAATTGAAAATAGAGAATGATTTCTAATATTAAAAGCTTAGATCTTAATAAATAAAATTTTTTATGGATTATTATTTATATTGTGTAACTTACTATTTAAAACAGCTTATTTGAGCAAGGTTATATTGTATCATGCAAATAATTTATAATGTGTGTTAACTAACAAATAATGAATTAAAGCAAAAGCTATTGTTTTATAAATAATAATTGCACAATAACATTCAGGTATCAAAAATAAAATAAACAAGTTTAATAAATAGTATATCAATTCATCTTAATTATTTATTTATATAACAAATAATATAAATTAATTTAAATTATTTGTTAATAAAAGAGTAATCAAGTAAATAAAATATCATTGTATTGGTATAAAATATTTAAATTAAACCTTGAGTTATTTGTTTATAATAATTATTGTATAACAAAATTTATATATCAATAATTTATAAATATTATAATTTATTATTGTTGTGTATTTTACGCTAAAAATATATTCCAAGTATAATTGATTAAATAATAATTATTTATTTTACAGGTAAAATAATTTTTTTATTATTCAAGCTTAGCTTATCATGGTAATTGTATAATTAATATATTTTTATATACCTAGTATAGTGCTTAAAATTAGTAAAAGTATTGCTGTCAATCACACTCACGATAAACATTTTATAAATACATGGTCACAATGTAACCGGAAGTTTATGTAACAACACACTTTGATTGATTGTCTAAAAATGATCATGATCAAAAATTTAAAAAAATTATATTTAAATAATTTCAGATATTTTATTTAAATGTATTATTTTTAATTAACTAAAAATTAAAAAAGATTTTATACAACAAATTAAGTAAAATAATTATTGATTACAATTAAAAATAAAAGTAATTTAATTGTAAGAAAACTAAATAAAAAATATTATTTGATCATGGTTATAAAACAAATTTATTGAATTCTCAAACGATATTTATTATACTAATTTATTGTTTTGAAAAATGATTTTGGTAAATCACTTTAATAATTTATCCAGGTTAATTCCAGCAGTGCTATTACCACCACTCTCTGTTAAGGTTTGAGCATGGCCATTAATCACATCGTCAACGTTAACAGAGTGGCGTCTCAGTAGATAATCAAACAATGTGTTTTGCTTTTGAACATTTTTGGCCATATTATTGCTCAAAACGACCATGGCAGTATTAATATTCTCAATATTTGCGCTCAAAATGGCCATGGTCCATTGTTGGGGTCTTTCGCACATTACCAGACCTAGATCATTATATCCAGTGCTATATGGTAGTTCATCAACCTAGTTATTGTAGCTAGGTTGCATTTGGTTGCTCATACCAGTCCATGTTCTGTCGGCCATTGTGCTATAATTAGCCAACATTGTCATTATAAAAACGTGTTCTTCAGCTGATCCAATGCTTATCAGCGAAGCTTTAGGGTTTAATTCGACGCATTTCCCGATAGCCGATGATTTATCCATACGTTTCTCAATGACTTTAAAACATTTTTCTTTTTTATAAGCGATCCAATCATCGCATAGATTAAGATTAATAACCATTGAGTTAACAATTGCTATAAATTAATACAAAATATAATTATGTTAATGTTATGCATTTTAATAGTATAACTTACTGTACCTGTAATTGATAAAATCATTACCAACACAGATGTTAGAGCAATACGACCCATAGTATTATTTAAATTAATTTTACAATTTGTTTAATTCTTAACTTATATATAGTATTTACTTTACTAGTTAAACTTTGTTTGTAATTTTCATCTATCTCATTAAATTATGCAAAAATATATTGCGCGTTGACTTTATTTATATATAACATTATATGGCAAAATAATTTAACTGCATAGCAACTATTTGAAATGACATTTATTAATCAACATTTAAATTATAACATGATCTATTTTACAAATGTGAATGTAAATAATATTTTCTTTACAATCATTATAATTGTTTATACATTTTGTTTTGTCAAATATTTTATTATTTCTTAAATATGTTATGTAATTCTAATGACAGTAATTTTATTATTACACAGATGTGTTTATATTTCTGTTTAACACAACATTATTATCATAACTATTGATGGATAAACAATATAATATATAAAAATGATGTTTCCTAATTTCTATACAGAATATTTGTTATTTCCAAAATAAATTATGTAACTAAACTAATGTTTAATTTAGAATTATTAAACATGGTACAATAAAATGTTCTCAATAAAAAATTATGCTGTTAGATCTAATTTAATAAAGGTTTATTAGATTATAATTATTATAACTACACTTAAAGTCGTTTATTTTCACATTGTACTATTTCACAAGTTGTCTAAATTCACATAATGTCACTAATCCCAACATGGGGTATACGATTTAACATAGAGTTAATTTCACAATTTTATATTTTCACTTTCACACAAACAATGATTTTCTTAACATTATGCACATAGGATTTCACTTATAATTTCACATTTTTATTGTAAAATTTCACTAATATATTTGTATAAAATTAGATAAAAATTTAACATAATGTGAAACAAATCAGCTTAAATAGGATTAGAATTTTTGTCCCTTACGATCATTGGGTACCATATATGCTTTCCAATCATGGGTGTTATCTTAACCTTATTCCTGCCCAACTCTTTGATGGGATAGACTTTATTTCATAAAATTTAACATTTACCTGCAAAAATGGACTTATTTAATTAAAAGCATCTATATAGAATTAAAAGAATTGTTATGCTATTTAACACAATTTAGAGTTGTAATTAATTTGTTTGATGGAAAATAACCTTTATAAAAAATATCTGCCTTTTGAATATTTTATTCAACATTTCAGTTGATAAGAGACCATGTTAATTGAATAACATTTGGACTTGATGGGCAATAATAAATTCAGTTTAAATTGTATCTAAATCATTTTAAATTAAAAAATCTTATTAATTACAAATTACCTAGCTAAAACAATTATAATTCTATATAGAATAACACTTATAATTCATATAAATATGAAAATATATAGCTCCATAAATTCACATTTTATAATTTCACACTATCGAATCTCCGGTCCCAATGATGTGAAATTATACAGCTTTAAGTGTATTAGAAACTAGCTAACATTTTACAAAATAATAACAATATTAATGCATAATTTCATAACTAAAGACTTAAAACTGAAAACAAATTAAAAGTAAATCTTGAAAATTAATTAAAAATATTTTATGCAAAAATACAATAAAATAATTATTGACAACAATTAAAAATAAAATTGATTTTATTGTAAAAAACTAAATCTATGTAAAGTATGAAGGTTAATCTAATTAAATAGATTATTATTATTTGACTTTAGATATAAAACTTAATTAAATGCTCAGACAATACGTTTCCATATTCTAAACATATTATTGTTAGTCAACCATTCAGTAATGTCTGTCGTAATGTCATCAAAGGGCTGTTTTATCTGTTCCCGGGGTTTGTTCATATTATTAATGATATCATTGCCAAAATTACCATGATTTCTTACCCATTTATCTTGGTTACTAATAGCCTGAATAAATTTTGCTATTTGACCATGGTAATCTCCAGTCACATCAATCCAACTGACTTCTGGCCACATGTTTGCAGGCTCTGATTGGTTGGGCAACTGTACGTATATAAACCCTATGGGTATTGACTCAAAATTAACGCTATAACCCGTGTTATTATTTTGTTTAACATCAGGTATTTCATTGACTTTGTTAAGTAGTGTTTGTGAAACATTTTTCTTTAGCTCATAAATCATATTTTGTTGACTATTAACGAGCATGGTCACATTTTCCAACGCTGTGCTCAATATTGTGAGAGTCCATTCCTGTGGCTTTTGGCACACGGGATATGCCCGGCGACCGCAGGGTTCGGAATACCATTTGCTCATAAAGTTACCATTTATTGCCATTTGAACACAAAACGGCATATTTACAGTTTTTAATGTATCACCATTGTAGCTATATACATTAATCTGAGTGCTATATTCGTACGGGATATCGTTCACCCAGTTGCTATAACTGTCCGTATCCGTTATAACATTTGCCATACCAGTCCACACTTTATCCGTATATCTGTTATAATTAGAGGCAAATTTATTAAAATATTCTTGCTCGTCTACTGAGGCAATGGTTATCAGCGATGATTTAGGATCCAATTTAGTGCAGGCGCTCTCAGCGGCGGTTTTGTTCATACGAATTGGTATTACTTTAAAACACTTTTCTTTATTATATGCCATCCAATCATCGCATAGATTAAGATTAATTTCCACTGCATTTACACTAACGAAAAATAATTATAATTTTTAAAATTAATAATTTTATACACATTTTTAAAACTTAAATATAATATATACCAAAAGCACACAGTGTAAATGATAAGATCACAAACACATTTACACCCATAGTTGCCAATTAAACTAATTATTTCTTAAAACTTAAATAGTTTTGTTCACTTTAAGTAATTTCTAACAAAGCAAAAGACAATTATACTTTAACTGTACAATATATAAAATCTTGAACTATTATCTAAAATATCAAAGTGTAATGTTCGAGATAATGTAAATAATTGATCAATAAATATTTAGAATCTAATTCTAAATTTTAGACAGACATAAATTATTACAATAATTTATCATAATGGAAACAAACTGACGTGATAATGTACGTATTATTGACAAAGCCCCTAGAAATAAGCAAATATGTGTTATGCATCACTGGGTAAAACATGTGATGATCGTATATCTGTTGATATGAAATACCTGTTCATAGACCTAACTCATGATCACAGTTGTGTTCCATTGGAATAGGAGTTAAA